CTTCTTATATCCTCTCCATGATCTTTAAACTTATCGTGGTCGTTTTACTTGGATTGGTTAAAGGCATTCTCATACAGTTAGAACACAAATAAATAGGACTGTGGTAACTAGTGAGTGGTTAGATTTGGCGTTTCGTCTTATTCGTATGGGCAAATGTGAAAATTTCTATCCAATGTTTGAGACTTATATCCACATACCTGAACTCAATAAAATTTAAGTTTTCCTACACAAACTTATAAAATTAAGCGGACACATACATAGTGGGTTACAATGTTAATTTATCCGTAAATGTGCTGACTGGTATGGTGAGTCATTTGACAAGTCAGATGGGCGTTCAACTTATTTGAGCCTCATGAACTCTAGGCATATGTGAAGATACATTTCCAAAGTTTGAATAAATGTTTTGTTGATTATTTTAAATTTGTTATGGTAATCCCCTTCACATTATTTGTAAAGTGATTTTGGATTAAATGTTTATGCGTAAACTCCACAATCATTCTCGCTAATTTCATTATAACATGACAACTCATTAAACTTAATCACAATTTTTATATAAAACTACTTCTCAATGTCATTTAAAATCAAATTTATTACTAATAATGTAGAATTACGTTTATGAAAACTACTAATTATGTTAACAATGATGATCTCTCCACTAGGCGATGCCAGTAACGGGGAAGCATGAAACAGCGACCCTTGAGCATTTTATGACCCACTAGTGCATGTCGCCCTTTCAGCTTCGAAAACAAAAACAAGGTCGGGTTGAACCTCTGCCCAGAAAAGCTAGCATCGGAGGCCTAAGATCTTCTATTTCTTGTGTCCAAGTAAACCTATATTAACCAACCAGTAATCAAGGTAATAAAAAGTGATACATTTAGTCTTTATTTTTTTTCTTCATTTTTTTTTGTATATAATCCGTTGAAAGGGACAGACCTGAGGGCATTATGAAATCAGAAGAGGCTTAGTTGCCCAATAAGCTAGTGACTACAATCACAAAATATACTTAATAACTCTTCTCCAGGTGCAACAAAAGTGTTACTCCCTGTCTTTGAACAGTGTACTCAGATGCCAAAATCGGGGAAAAGGCTAGTCATAATACATCATACGAACGCCACCACAGTACGAGGAGTCGGATGCAACATAGCAGAACCGTACCATAAGGCAAGTGGCCCGAACAGGCTCCGAGGCGTGGAACTTGGTATCCAAACTCCGAGGCATGTAACACTTTATAAATATCCCCCTGTATACTCCATAATGAGGATCAAATCTTTTTAAATATTTACAAAATAACTCTTTTTTGAGCTCAAAGTCCATTTCTGGCTGTTTAGGGTCAATCTCTCGGATCTCTTCCATCTCTTTTCTTTAGTTCTAGTTATCTTTAGATAGGAGTTTCACTCACAAACTCTTTCTCTCTTTCGTTTTTCCTCTCTTCTCCACCAGATCATCAGATACTACGTGGACCATTTCTATTCGGTCCGGAGCTACCATATTTCTCTAGTTTTCTGACTACTCTCTCTTTTGATCTTCTTCGATCCACAATGGTCTTTTTCTCCTTTTCTGACTTTCATTTGTCCTCTATTCTGATTTGGGCGTCGAAGCGTAGTCGGAAAAAACCATTTTATTGTGTTTTCCAAAACCTTCACGACTGTGCAGAAATAGAATCCCCCATTAGTCGTTTCAAGGGACTAAAATTTTCTGAAACAAAAGGTATAACAAAACTTGTAGTAGAGGGAAAAAACAAAAATTGTAGTATTTTTTTTAAGATTTAGAAAAATGTAAATTAACAATTAATAATGAAAATCAAACAAGGTAGTGTGTAATATTCACTGACATCTTATGAATATTAACAATTAACAATTAACATT